GTCTGTGAGGGGATTATTTGGCCTGATATGGCGCGGGGTCTTTCTGGTCTCTCGTGGATGGGGTCCTTGTGGTCTAGTTGGTGTCTAAAGCTCTGAGTCGAAAATAAAAAGGGATTGATATATACGTATTTTATTACCAAGAAGACAGATCAACATCACTTATCTTGCAGACAGCAAGCACTATTATACCACGTATAGGCATATACACAATATACAAACATACACATAAAACACATACAAACATATCCAAACACATATTGCTTTGCTTCCTTGCTTTGATCTTATTTATATATATTGTGTACACATTGTGTTTTGTGTATATACTGACTGTGTATTCGTGGAGAGCTTGCGTACATATGGAGTGCTTGAATATATATGGAGTCCTTGCATATACATAGCGTGCTTACATATACATGGAGTGTTTGCATATACATGGAGTGCTTGCATATACATGGAATCCTTTCATATATACGGTGTGCTTGAATATACATGGCGTGCTTACATATACATGGAGTGCTTGCATATACATGGCGTGCTTGCATATAGGTGGAGTGCTTGCATATACATGGCGTGCTTGCATATACATGGGGTGCTTGCATATACATGGAGTGCTTGCATATAGGTGGAGTGCTTGCATATACATGGCGTGCTTGCATATACATGGCGTGCTTGCATATACATGGAGTGCTTGCATATACATGGAGTGCTTGCATATAGGTGGAGTGCTTGCATATAGGTGGAGTGCTTGCATATACATTTGCCAACTGTTGGGAGTTAGTCTAAGTGCAGCACCTCGATGTTATCATATACCTGTGGTGCCCCGTCTACCTGCTGGTAATTACCAACTGTCCTCTGATGCTACACACACACACACACACACACACACACACACACACACACACACACACACACACCACACACACACACACACACACACAGAGCTAAGAGGTATGTCCTACGAGGAGAAGTTAAGGGAAATCGACCTGACGACACTGGAGGACAGGAGAGATAGGGGGGACATGATAACGACATACAAAATACTGAGAGGAATTGACAAGGTGGACAAAGACAGGATGCTCCAGAGATGGGACACAGTAACAAGGGGACACAGTTGGAAGTTGAAGACACAGATGAATCACAGGGATGTTAGGAAGTATTTCTTCAGCCACAGAGTAGTCAGTAAGTGGAATAGTTTGGGAAGCGATGTAGTGGAGGCAGGATCCATACATAGCTTTAAGCAGAGGTATGATAAAGCTCATGGTTCAGGGAGAGTGACCTAGTAGCGACCAGTGAAGAGGCGGGGAAAGAGCTTGGACTCGACCCCCGCAACCTCAACTAGGTAAGTACACACATTGACTATCGAATAAAACAACAGATAGACGACGTTAATAAATTTAATGGAGAAAGATAATATTAAGAAGAGGGAGAGAGAGAGAGAGAGGAGAGAGAGAGAGAGAGAGAGAGAGAGAGAGAGTGAAGACGTGTCACAGTGTGCTCCACAAACTTTCTTAATATTACTTAAATACGAGGGTTGGTGAGGATAAAAACCGTTCAGTGACGTAGTACTACTTACAACACATTAGTACAAGTAAGCCAACTCCTCCACTGAAGTGAATATAAGCAATATCAGTGATATTTAAGTGTGGTATGGTGAAGACATGGTGTGAGTGAGGGGACAGCGGCAGGCCTTAGGAGTGACGTCACTATTGCCTTCAGAGTGAGCATCTAATATTATCTAATATCATATGTGTTTTGTGCTATGTACTAGCATCTGGTGCTTTATAACAACGTGACTGGTACAATGCAACATAGTGATTTGTGTAACATCTTCCTTTAGTGGAAAAGTGGATAGCATAAACAGTGTTTATTAAGTGATAGTGAGAAGGCAACACTTCCAGCTAGTCGGCCACTGCCGCCCTCACTACCAACCCCGCTGTAAACACCACCACCCACGATACCCCACCCCACCCACGATACTCCACCCCACCCACGATACTCCACCCCACCCACGATACCACCACCCACCCTCTCTCTCCTGTGAACTTCATTGCAAACCTACAAGCCTCCTCTGGGATGACTTCACACCGCAAAATAACAGAATATCTACGCTATCTGGCTATTGTCCCA